CCTGTGCACCAGCAGGGACTCCACTGGGGGCTGTCAGGACTGTCCAGTCAGAGCCCTCCATGTGGTGTCAGAGCTGGGAGGCCGACAGACATTATTCCAATATTCCAGGAGAAAACAGGCTGAGGTAGACCTACTCTGCATTGGTGGAGGGGTCAGTCTCTGAGCCGTGCCGGCTGTCCCTGGACAACAAGCACCATCAAGACAGTCGAGGGAGGCCCCGCTTCTCTCGGGGTCACACACCACCGTGCCAGCCTTCAGCGGAAAGCAATCATTGCACAAGCAGTAAAGGCAGGCAGGGCTACAGGGGCATGGCGGACGCGGAGCACTGCCATCGCCACTTGTAACGAGGACGCAGCACCACTGCAAGCCGGGGCTCTGCAGCGCCTACATATTGTGCCCCAGGGCTCCCCCGCAGCTGGAGTGGGCCGGCTTCCCGTGGGCCGGGCACTGTCCTGAACCTACGTGTCCTGCTAACACAGGCGCAGTGAGAGCACTGCGTCCCACGCTTGTTGATAGAACTGATCACTAGTTAATTCAGTATCATGTTATCCTGACGATAAATCGCCACCAAGTTAACGGGAGCTTACTAGGTAACCCACGTGTCCACCCACCCACACAGCTGTCCGTCCGTCCGACCATCCACCCAGTGCTGTTGAGCACCATCATGGCTAGGCCTTGGTCCCCTGCAGTGCACACTGAAGCCCTGAGGCCCATACCTGTGCTGTCTGGAAACACTCTCTGAAGGTGCTCTCAGTCAGGGGAACATGTCACACTGGAGCAGTGTGGGTGCTGTGCCTGTGTGAGTGCTGTCCTTATGGGACAGGAGGAGAGACAGAGACAGGGAGACAGAGGATGGACACCACGTGACCCCGTAGCTGCAGCCGAGGGACGCCCGGGGCCGCTGGAAGCCGGGAGAGAGGCAGGGACGCAGCTTCTACAGCAGGGACTGACCCGGCCCGTCCACTGACCTGCAACGCCCTCTGTTAAATTCAGCCGAGAAGGTTTGCAGGGAACTGCGTGTGGGGTCTGCAGACGCCCAGAACTCGAGCTCTGAAAGCTCAGTTGGTGCTTTTTAAATAAAATAAAGGAGTTGGACCAGTGACAGCCCCAAAACACATTAACATACACTCACCCATGCTGCGCTGTTATCAGGTACCGAGTCAGCTCCGACTCACACTGACCCGTGAACAACAGAACGAAACTCTGCCTGGTTCTGTGCCAGCCTCACAGCCTTGCCGTACCTGAGCCCATCGTTGCAGCCACGGTGTCGATCCATCTCTTTGAGGGCCTTCCCCTTTTTTGCTGACCCTCCACTTTACCCAGCATGACATCCTTCTCTAGGGAATGGTCCCTCTTGACAACATGACTGAAGTAGGTGAGACGAAGGCTGGTCATTCTCACTTCCAAGGAGCGTTCCAGTTGCCCTTCTTCCAGGACAGATTTGTTCATCCTTCTGGCAGTCCATGGTACTTTCGGCATTCTTCACCAACACAACTCAAAAGCATCAGCATTTCTTCAGTCTTCCTTATTCATTGTCCAGCTTTCACACGCATATGAGGCGATTGAAAATACCACGGCTGGGTTAGGCGCACCCTAGTCCCCAAGGAGACACCTTGGCTTTTCAACACTTCAAAGAGGTCCTTTGCAGCAGATTTGCTCAGTGCAGTATGACGTCTGATTTCTTGACCGCTGCTTCCGTGGGTGTTGATTGTGGATCCAAGTAACATGAAATATGTACTCACATGCACACGCACAGACTAATATGCACTCATGCACACCCACACTAATCCACACTCAGATACGCCCCCACACACTGAGACGCACTCGCTCACACTCTGACTCACAGCGCCCCTAGAGGACAGAATGGAACTGCCCACAGGGTCTCCAAGGCTGTCAGTCTTCATGGAAGCAAAGCCCAAACCACACCCATTGCCGTGGAGTCCATTCCGACTCACGGCGCCCCCATGGGACCAAGAAGAACTGCCCACAGGATTTTCTAAGCTGCAGTCTTCATGGAAACAAATCGGCAAGTCTCTCTCCCATGGAGCCCCTGTGTGGGTTCCAACCACCAGCCTTTTGGTTGGCAGCCAAGTGCTTAACTGCTGTGCCACCAGGCCTCCTTTCCTGCCCTCAGTACCCACTCATAAACTTTGGTCTCTAAGCATCTGCAGGGGCCCCTCTTACGCACCACTATTTCCCCATTTCCTAGAGCAATGGCCGAACAGCTCACATAGAGCAGACAACCATCCCTGGTGGAATAAAGGAGCCACTGAATGACTGGTCAGCAACTACTGCCTTACGGCCATCCCTCCGGGAAGCCAAACACAGATACCAGCTCCCAACCTCCCTCTTCTGGGGCTGTTGACGACACCCAAGCGTCTAAGCAGTGACAAAACTGGCCCCTTCGTACTTCATCTTGTTTGTCCTTCACCCTCCACTGATGGTAGAAGTCACAGTGGATGAGACGAAGAAGGAAATTGGATAATAAACGTGAGAGATAGCTGGGCTGGAAAGTCAAGCTGGCTCTGCCTGGCTCTTCTCTACATACGATGTTTAGCAAACGTGACACCAGCCTCTTGGAGAGCACTTGAGACACGCCGTCCTGCCACCCTTCCTGGGCAATATTCCATCTCTGCAGGCTTATCATCTGTCTTGCGGAGCCAGCCTGGGGACAGAGCGCCCGAAGGCTACTATCATCCAAGCATCTGCAAATGTCCTTTTGCCAGGATGAGAGGAGATGGCAGAAGAGTCCGGCCTGTCTCAGCCAGATCCCTCCCAGATGTCATCTAATGAAATCCCGCTCTCAGGGCACTGCCGACTTGTTGTGACAGGTAATAAGGACGGTGCTTTAATGAAATCTACCCTGAAAATGGGGTCTCGATGATTAGGGAGGTGGCATCGGAAGCCATCTCCTCATGGAACAAGCGCTGCTGACAAACTGGATGGGAGGAGGCCGCACGGGCGAGCACAGGCCGGCTGCCCAAGCAACAACCAACCTTTAAACACTTGCTGCCGCCAGCGCATTCTGCCCACATGACCCACCTACGGCAGACAGCGCCCCCATGGGGTTTTCCTGACTGTCATTTTACAGAAAGAAGCCCTGGTGGCACCGTGGTTAAGCACCAGCCGCTCTGCGGGAGAAACACCTGGCGCTCCGCTCCCTAGAGATGACAGCTCAGGAGCCCCCATGGGGCAGCTCTGCTCTGGGACAGAGGTGGCCGTGAGTTGGAACTGACTTGGTGGCACCCAACAACAGTAATCTTCACAGCAGCAAATCACTGGGCTTTCTTCCGTGGCTTTGACCAACCAATTGTGACGGTAAAGGTTGAATGCAGACTGTGTGCACCACCTGGGGCCTAATGTGTCCAGTCCTTGGGCCTCAGAGACCTGGGAAGACCATGAGCCAGGTAGGCGGACCTGTGCCTGCGGAGAGGGGTGGTCTGCCACCAGCCCAGTCAGGGTCAGCACCTGCGCCCAGGGCCCAGCCTCAGATAGGTCTGCCACCAGCCAGCAGGAGCCGGGGCAGCGTGTGGTTTGATGCCCATCTGTGTCAACTGGAAGTGCTCTGGCTGGGAGGAGGAGGAGGGCAGGGTGGAGGCATGGGCTTCAGGAAGCAAACGAGACAGGCTACTCACAGGTTCCGAGATCCCACTTCCAGCGGGGACAGAGGGTAGCGGTCGCACTGTGTCTCCAGAAAGCACACAGAAGTGCACACCGCGCATCTGAGAACGCACCTTACGTGGGGACAGGTTTCTCCTCAGACATTAGCCATGAAACTCACAAGGCCATCCTGCCTGGGCTAGGTCCTGATCTACATGAGGGATGCCGTGTGTCAGGGGAGGACGGACACAGAGCCACGCAAGAGGCGGCCACCAGGTGAGGACAACACATCTCCAAGCAGTAACGGGACCCCATGAGAAGGCGGGGCTGAGGCGTTGGCAGCGCCCTCCCGGGTTCCTCAGGAGTCCGTGCAGCCTACCCCCAGGTGACTGGTCCACCCTCCAGAGCCGTGTGGCCCAGGACGGGCCTGCTCCTTAAGGCCACCTCTGCTGTGCTACTTCGGATGACAGACAGCACAACAAGCTCCCTAGCTCCCAGGTGGGCTCTTCACTCCGTTCGGAGAGAGCGGGGCGAGGGCCAGGGCTGCGAGGGCCAGCCAACAACCCCACCACCTCCCAGAGGCCCTTCTGAGCCGTCCTCAGGCCCCTCCTCTTCCTCCCTCTCACCTCTCCCTTCCTTTGCCCTCCCGTCTCCTTCCTTCACGGGCCCAGTACAGACACGTTTCCCGACAACCTGCCTTGTCCACGTAGTAACCCGCGGTGCAAGTCTCCCCGGGACCGACCTCGCCCAGTGCAGCGTGTGGACGTACCACGCTTGCCCCTATGCAGGGTGGGCGTTCAGTCCCGTCCAGGTCCCATGCCACTACAACCACCTCCAGAAACCATCACTGATAAACTCCTCCGGGCCAGCTCCGGCCGGCGCACCACCGGGCACATGGGAGTGCCCGCGTTTTCGCTTGCTTCCTCGGGGGCTGGGAGCGCGTGGGAGGCCCTTTCTCCTGCCATCCTACCAGCACCAGACGCTGGACGCTAACTTTCACTGTGCGTCAGAGGACACGGACACAAGTTGACGTGGGTCACACGAAGGAACGGGAAAGCAGCAAAAAGGACTCTGGGCCTCTCTGTGACTCAGCCACCCTCCGGGGCACTGGCGCCCCGGC